AGCCCGGATTTAAACGGGCTCTCAATAAAAGGCCCAAACCCTGTTTTTTTCTGGGCTAAACGGGCCTGCCCGTCGGGCTAAGGACCATTTAACATCTCTAATTAAAGTATTTCAATTTTTTTTGTGGGGATGATGATGTGTTATTTTGACTTTTTTTTAGCCATTACATCATCCGATCTAATGGCTATGATTTGTTCTTATTTGTTTCACCAGTCATCATTCTCACTTGAACCCAACCCTATATACATATGCATATATTTGTATTTATTTAAAATAGTATTTTTAGTTTTCACTAAACACTTTAGCTACTTAAAAATAAAATTCTATAGAGTATTTTATTTTTTTCTTTTATTTTTTTCTTTTTAGCATTGTATAATTTATTTGAAATAATATTTCTTTAAATGCATAAGTTTGATAGATATGCATAAAGTAAGAAAGAATTCATTTATCTTTAGATGTATACTCTACCATCTTAATATATTTTTATTTGTTAGAAATATTTGTTACATGAATTATTTCATGTAACTAATATATTTAAAGAAAAAAGAATTAGATCAGTCGGGTGATGGAAATAGGTTACTGTCCAGATTATTATACATACGGTAAATGTTAATAGAAAATACAAAAATTGAATACAGACTTCAATTTTCTTTTTAAGTAAAATCTCATTTTGTTATATAATATTTGATTTACATTAATCTTGATTTATATTTATAAAATTGTTAAATCAAGCTGATGCAATAAAGCCTGAAATTATTAAGCATACAAATTGGAAATCTTTTATACTCAAATTTTCACGCACTGACATAATTCTCGGTATCATCTCAATATTTATTTTATATATACTATGTAAATCTTCTTTCAAAAAATTTAGCATGCAATAATTTCTTTGTTTAAGCTTATAATATTTTAGATGCCTTTAAACATTTTCAATTTTTTTACACATTCTATCTATATATACATACACATATAAATATAGTTAAATTTGAATATTTATAGACATGTTTTATTTAAAAAATACTTTAGAAAAGTATAGAAAAACTTTAGGTGACTTCACATCTTTCAATAATAATATATAAAATATTAAATATTTTTACATATGTTATATACTATTTTAGGTATTTTTATTATTTAAACAAAGATTTTGATATTATTTTATACAAGATAGTTTTACATTGTTTACCTGTTATATCACATGTTAACTAAACATATTTAATTTAACGGTTGTCCGAAAATATTTTTGATATATAAAATTTACATTTAACGATCAAAAAAAAAAAAAAAACTAAACAT